GTAATATATAAAAAAAGAAAAATGACAGTAACAATTGGTAAAACAATTCGAAGACAAAAAAAAACTATAAATAAATTTAAAAGTAATAAAACTTGATAAACTATTTTACATTAAATAAAATAACAGTAGTGTAAAACAGTCATATGCTTTAGTAAAAACAATAAACATTATACATACACACAAGCTAAAATGAAAAATGCCCATAAAATGAATAACAAAACAAAGCCAATTAAAATAGGTTCGTTATTGACTTTATGGTACAAGAAAAAATGTCAATATTATGTTGGAGGCTGTTGCAATTTTCACACATAAATTGGTGATCACAATAATAAATTAGTATTAGGCATTGCGAGGTACATCATATTCGAGTAGCGTAGATTGGCGCGAGACACGTGGAAGTTAAAACGATCCAAAATTTGAGGACAATCATACACATAATTAATGATTTTATACAAAAAACAACAGAATGCATATCTCGGAAAATCTAATGTTGGGATATATTCCTTGAGTTCTGAAGTGCATATATTTTAAGAATTTTCTTTGAATGTTTTCTAAGTTATTTTTATAGACTGCATACTGAGGATACCAAACTATTGAAGCATATTCCAAGCGAGATCTTACAAAACAATTATATAAATTTACTATTGTGGAAGGATTAGCAAAATCTCTACAATTTCTGATCACAAACCCAAGGCTTCTATAAGATGATGAAGAGACATTGCGTATGTGTTCATGAAAAGATAATTTTTGATCAAAAGTTACTCCCAAATCTTTTAAATAATTGAGAGTGATTGTTAATCCTATAATCATAGATCACAGGACAAGTCATTCTAGAAAATATTGTTTAAAATATGTAGTATCAGCACGATGGTGCACGAAAACATAGAGGACTTTTATTTATGGAGACATTTGAAGCAAATTGTCTACCATGTTGAAATCACTACTCGCCAGCAGTTACTTGAAAGAATTCATGATGCAGCTAACCGGATAAGGAATGATCCAAATCTTATCTCATTCGTGGAGTGACGGAATCTTTAGTTTGCTGATGTGACGCTTGCATTCGAGCCGAGGATGAACATTTTGAACAATTTTTATTGTCTTAGATTTGTTAATTTTGTTAGTAAAGGTTAACTAATGTTTAAACTTTGAACGCAAATAATAATTATTGTTATAGCAACCATTATTTTTATTTATCAGGCTACTTTGATTGAAAAATGAAAGAATGGTTTTCAAAATGCTTGTAACATTTAAACAAGAACGAATTGGACATATGTTGATACAAGAAAAAATGTCTAAAATTGAGTCAGCTACCATCTGTCAAAGTTTGTCATAGAGCTTGTAGAACACCCTGTGTATGACTTGTATATATCACTGTAATTACGAAAAGAAGAGGGTACAAAAGGTCATAAATATATAGAGTTAAAAAAACAGTTTAGTTTATATCTTCAAAATGCATCAGTTAATTTTTCCTTAGACTTGACGTCAAGATTTAAAATTCAACTGGCCCTTCAAGAGTATTTTTTTTAACCTTATTTATATTGTATTAAAAAAATAGCAGTCGGACCTATAACAATGTTTTTATTTACAGATTTCGATTTTAATCCTGATGTTTCTATACTTCTAAACTAAAATGCCTCCTTAATAAGTTAATTTCGGTAAAATCAAATAGTTCCTAAAAGAATCAAGCTACTTGATTTAACGAATTGCCGAATAATATAAATTCTACCATTCGTACAACTTCTACAAGAGATTTTTGACACTGGTTGGACACTGGCTAAGGCTTGTGTAATAAATCGCCCATTAAACTGTAAAAATAAACATACATTTCAAATATTTTACTCAATCTATTCGTCCGATTAGTTAACCAAGGTTTAACTACTAAAATTACTGACCCTAAGTAAGTTGAGTTAAATTTTTTAAAAGGAACACTCCTAATGATTTCATGTTCTAAATTGGTCCATCCTCAACACAAAAGACATTTTCATTGTCCTCCGAGACTTCCGTCGATGATTATCAAAATAATTAACGCTCGACATATAACCTTATAACAATACCTAAATGACAACATCCAGTGCAACAAAGCAGTTTCTCAAATGAGAATAGACAGTTCCTTAGCCGACGGCCTGCCAACGGTGAATAACCTTAGATCAACTTTCACTTCCTCGCAATAACGTTAATTTTCATGATTTAATGTTGTAATTATTACTATTCATGAGATAATCTGGTCTGATTTATGCCTGCAGTAACAAAAATTATCAAGTCCAGTATTTTATTATGATATGTAGTCGTTATGTGTAACTCAAGGCAATCGGAAGTGCATTGGACGAGTATACAAATTTTTCCTCAAGATAATTACCAAAATTACTAGCTAATAACTAAATTAGCGCCCAACTAAAAATTATCCTCGACTTTCAAGAACTTTCTTTGAATTATTGTATATTGAAAATGTCAAACGCGAAATTTGAAACATTCGGTAGGATGAGCTAGTTATACCCAATTTGAATAAAATCTTCGCCCCATTTTTTCCGAACCATTTTTTATACACGTTATTATCTCTGTTAAAGCTAATTGAGATGTAGGTACACTTAAATTAAAGCACATGAAGTAATAACAATAAAAATATCAATAACAAGAAGAAAGACCATAAATCAATAATAAAACAAAGAAGACAATTTATCATTAGCCAGCCAGCTCGGTTATGGTAGCACCAGGAAAAACATATTTTAGACAAAAGTTGCTCCCAGTCAAGTTCTTCACATTTTAAAATTAGTTTGAATTATACAGGATGTCCCAGTTCCCCTGTGCCCCAATCAACTTTGTTTTTTTTAAATACAACACCCTATATATTTTTGCATTTTTGAATTACTCGATGAATTTTAATGTCACTGTAATTAATAATTATGGTGTCTATTATGCACCATTTGTATGTTAATTGATGATTTCTTAAAAAAATTACGTTTGCAGCGACTAGGAAAATCATAGATAAACGAAATCTTTACCATTGTTCTAAGCATGACCAGAGCTATCGAACTGATTAGCCTTCATTAATATCCGCCCAAGGATGTGCCAAATACGAGCACCTAAATTTCTGAATTTTCAATCACAGATAACTTGATTTTTTCAAATGGAACCATGTACTAGATTTTGTTCAGATGGATTCAAAATTTAATTTCCTTTCGATTTTGTTAAGATATGTCAGGGTCTATTTCAAACGGTTTTGAAGATAATCACATTTTTTCTCAATTTTTATAATTGTGGTTGGTATTTTCATATTACCCACTCAACCAATGGACAAATTATAATTAACAAATTTACAAGATAAATAAATCCATATAACTAGTAATAAGGTCTATGGTTAAATTTTAAATTTGAATGTTCCAATTTTGCGTATGTTAAATATTAAAGATATTAAAGACACAGATAAATAATTATTACTTATTCTAACTATGCACTGTTATGTGCATATACTTAAAATACCTGTATTATTGCTTAAATACAACTTTCAATAGGGCTTATGTACTAATAAGTTTCAAATGGAATAAATTAGATAAAGTTTATGACAGGCGCCGTCGCCATAATTTCAAAAATATTCAACAACCTAAAGGTAGGCTTATTTTCATTTTCTTTGGCTTTACCATAATGCGAGTCATATTGAATATAAAAAATATGATTGACCAGTTTCTAGGCACGTAGGCACACTTCTTCTACCAATCTCCCTCTCTCTCTTTAAAATTGCTGAGACGAGTGGTTTCCAAATTCCAGACAGTTTATTGCTTCTCTTTAGAGTCTTGACCAAAATCATCTCTCGCTATCTCAATAGAATTATTTGGGTTCATTAAGTGTTCTATTTTTGTCCCGTGCTCTGCAACGTTTTTCTACTTTGTTATCCTTCAACTACTTTCTGTCTTCATTTAACCCAACCTAACTGTCTATCTGACTAATGTATACTTTGCCATATACTGCATAGAATGTTGTATACACCAGAGCCTTGGAATTCATTATTTGTGGTGTTATAGATGATGTTCCTTGTTATATTTCTTTAAGAGAAGAATGTTTTGTCAGTGCATGCTCGTATAGAAAGTAAATAGATTGTTGCAAGTTACTTCTTTACTTTGTTCTAAGGTAGCTTTCTGATGACTTATTCAATATATCTGTAATGTCCAGGTTTCAATCGATCGTAAGTAACGTAGCTTTTCGTCCAATTGTTGTAATGCTGTACTGGTCAGATGACTTAATTTCCAGTTTATTATGAAGAAGAGGGTGATATGTCTCTCGAAACGTCTAAATCGACGATATGGGAATCAGATCGAAAATTGTTCAACCACTGAAACTAAGTGAACTAAGAACAAAAATGTTCTTTTCTGATCGAAGGTTTTAATTAAATATAAATGAATACTATATGCATTTAAAATGTACCTATGTATAATTTCTAGTCATCCTTAAGTAATATGTTTTTAGAAGTCCTCCATTTATTTGTTTCTTTTTTTTGTTGTTAAATATCCCTTACAAATTTCATCTATTTTAAATAAATAAAATATTTCAAAGAAGTAAATTCAGACAACAGTTTTTTTTCAGTATTGACTAGACTATATACCCAATTATGTACATGAAAAAATATTTAAAAGTATTCTTCTGATAATATAGACACAGGTAATAAATTCCATTAAATTAGTTTAAAAAAATAGCATTCGTGAAAGGCAGTTACCAGGAATTCGAAACTGCTTCCAGTTTTATTGATCCGTCCTTTCTGTATTTAGTTACACATGCACCTTTGAAATATGTATGTACTTACAACCAAGACTGAAATTCATATACACGTAGAAGAAACATTTATAAAAATGAACTTTTGTGAATTTAGTATTGCCAATTTTTCAAAGAATCTTCACCAAACTAGTAATCAAACAAATATTTATGTATTTCAACCACACATGTGAAGAATTTTAATTTTTGTATGATCTTGATTATTATGTTTTCATTTATTTTCAATTAATATTTTGCAGATGCTCTACCCGAGATAATTGGAAACAACTGCAAATCTTGTGACCAGAAGCAAGTGGCGAATGCAAAGAGAATAGCCAGATTCGTTCAAACAAAATATCCAGACGTATGGAATGCCTTAATAACGAAGTATACTGCCAACTGAGTTCAATTCTTTATGAAGTTAGGCGTAATAAGTATAAAAAAAAAGTATGGCCCATGGGGGGATCGAACCCACGACTTTCGCGTTATTAGCACGACGCTCTAACCAACTGAGCTAATGGGCCAGTGGCAGCACTTTTCCCTTCAGTTTAAATAAGCGAAAATACAGTTTCATTATATTTTTTCTGAATAATATATTACTGAAATTCAATTTAATCGACATTTAACAACTTCAGGTACCTTGATTTCCTAAAATTCATTATAGTGTAAGTAAGATTTGAATAAGTGTGTTTAAATTGATCATATCAGTCGTAAGTTTTAAAATAGATCTTGTATTATCTCCAACTTTATTATAACTGTCTTACACTTACACTTAAGTATATATAATTATATTATTTCATTATGTACAAACTACTTTTATTTCGTCAGTGTGATTTCGATTTCATGTTAGATTAGATTAGTTTAGTTGTAATTTCCAACCAAAATAGGGTTTATTAAATATCCTGTATTAGAGCTTGTTGACGTAAACAATGATTAATTTGAATATAGACTTGAACTCAATGCCAAAAATTTGTGAAATAGTTTCTACTTTAACCTTTTATAGACACGTAGTTCTTTAAGTAAGCAACAATTGTTGTAATAAAAATTATTGTATTTTGTTTTTCTAATAATATTATACTTAATATTTCTGTTTAAAATATGGTTTAAATTTATTGTAGTATGAATTATTATATAAGGGATGATATAATAAAGCAACAAGTAAGGTATTTAGTTACTTAAATTTTAAATGCATACCTATTTTGATTTATTATAATTATAAGTATACTTACATTGCATAGGTACAAATCGGTATTCTTGTATGGCATACACATAAAAAATTTGTGAAAAACACACTAAATAACTGGTTATTTTAATGTCACCTAAGGAAATTGCTATACAGGATAACATTGCATCCTAGTGGGGACTCGAGCATTGTAATAATCCTGGTATTGATATTTTAAGCTTCAGTTGAATAACTATTGAAATATCCTGCTCATCAGTCATATTTAAATAGAATTTTTATAACTTCTTTACATTCTGTTGAAAATTCCTGCAATTTAAAACGTTATACTTACAATGTACTTTTAACGTTGTATTAACCGAAACTACTTATTTAACGTTTTTTAAATCTCCATGTTCTCACTGGGATACAACTAATGATCTAGTATAGTATAATTTTAAATACAATTTTTTAATATAGTATTGACTAAAGCAAAATGAAAGTGTATAAAAGTAAAAATGAAGCAAAAATATGTAGTAGTTATAATTTGACTTCCCTCCTGTAACTTTATACGAAATGATTTTGATTAAATTGGTCACCTATCACCTTAAATATTGTAAATTCGGGAAGATATATAATTTCAAAAGTTTTTTCCACCTCCACAGGTGTAACCATGTCTGAAAAATTTGTCGATTATGTAACTGTTAACATTGTTTAAATCTACAATTAAGCGAATTTAAAAAAAAATAAAAAATCTCATATAAAACAAATGGTTCTTAACTCGTGCAAAATAGTATAACATTCATCAATAACTGTTCTAATATTTACAATAATATCATTTTTCACATCAGTATGTCATATTAGAATAATAATGAAAGGCTCTACATATTTCTATAAAAACTTTATTCAAATTTAAAATACACGTGATAAATAACCAACAATACGTTTTATAGGTATGAAATGATATGAAATGATTTCATCAACATTAAGTATTAAAATTTTGATATAATTGGAAAATTAAACTTTCATTTATTGCATTATAGTTGTTAGATGACATTGGGACGTATTAGTAATAGAAAGAGTTTACAGAAACCTGAATTTAGCCAAAATATTTACTGCTAAGACTCCTTGAACAGCAGCAAAATATGTAGAAACAGTAGAAGGTACCATAGAAAAGAATTTTTGAAAACTAATACAGAATTAGATAATACGAATCTCCAATTTTTTTTTTTTAAAGCAGTCGGTCTGGTTTTGAAAATGAAAGATTTTAAAAACAATACTATAGATTTTGCAGTACTTTCATTGATGAACATAGAAATATATTTTGAATATGTATAAAAGATAAGAAAGACAAAATAAATCAATTTTTTTCATGTATGAAATGAACTTTACAGTCTTAAAACTAAGATAACTCTTCGAATTCTCATTTAAAAAACAAGCTCACAAATTCTTGCTAATCTAAACTTATTTCCTAATTAATATCTAAAGATATGATATGTACTAACTATAACCTAGATCTTATTGTTAATAATGCTTTTTTAATTCTGCTTATGTTTTTGACAAATGTTCTTCGTAGCGCTGTTTATATAAACCTTGGGGATCATATTTTTTGGTCAGTCTTTCCCAGTCTTTGGCTCTCTTCGACATCAGATGTTTCATAACTTTTTCAGCTGTGTCCTTCTGTTTCGCGTTACATTTGGAACAGTTACTTGATAAGGCATCAGGAAGCGTCTCTGAAAAATGAAAGTATCATCAATGTAATTAGACTGATATACGTTAAAATATGGGTGAATCTTTTGGATCAAATTATTAATGTACTTAAATAGAAAATAAGTACTAATTAATGATTTCATTTTCTTTGGATTGAAGTAATGCTTGAATTCTGAGATACATTTTTCATAAATAAATCTTTTAAATTTCTTTTGGATTTTTAAGGAGAAACGTTATTAATTTTTTAACTTTGGACACGACTTGAAAGCTATATTTTTATAGATAGATAGATGTTTTTTACCTAATTCCAAAACTTATTCTAGTGATTTTCAGTTAGAACTAGTTTTGAATTATAACTTATTAATAACAAAAAATATCAAATCAATTGAGGAATTTGACAAAACACTGTAATAGTAATTATGGAATTAATATTAGATTTTTCATAAATATAGCTAGTCATTTTACACGAAGTAAATTATTTTTAGGACAAATTCCTACAATAATAGATTTATGTTAAGATAAAACACCATTTGATTAAATTAGTAGTAAGATGAAAACTCAACGCAAAAATCCACTTCAAAAGCAGATCGTTCTGTAGATTTGTATTTGATTAATGCGTAGTTTAAGAAATTTCATTGTCCTAGTTGCAAATTATGAGCAACGCAATTCACATTTATGCAGTTCTAGAATGATAAAAGATCCTTTTAGATTTTCTTTGTTTCATAATATACAAAATAATGCATACCTTTAATAACACAGCCACACAAAAAAGTTCTGTACCAGAAACATTATAAATAGAGTACGGGGTTTTCGTCGGCTAGTCATAGGAGTGTTCGTCTAAACAAGTAAATAAAGAGGTAAGTATAAATAAAAATAAATAAATTTGTGTATTTTATCAGCGAAAGGTCGTTTTTTACCCCTTGGTGCGTTCGACATTATTAGAATATTAAAACACCTATACACGAAGCAAACGAGAAACCAATAACTGCCGTTATTATCGGTTTCGTATGGTGCGCTGTACCGAAAGGCCGACGCGACGGCTATGATCATCCGACCGAGTCCCGAACTCTAGTTATAAATATTGAGAATTGAGTCATTTGAGTAAAAGTAGGCAAATATCTAAAAATGAGAAATAAAGAATATAAATTCGATTTCCAGTGTCCTGTCTCTTTCAAATCGGTTTTTGTGCTGCGGATTTGGATTCAGCATAAAAAAATACACAAAATCTAACTATGAACTATTTTTGCCGATAGCTGTTTCTTTTTTTGTTTAAAACTTTTGTTATCTATGTAAAATGATTTGAACAAACTCACAAGACAGTTTTCAAAATTATCTAAGGGCAACGGTATAGAAAATTTATAAATCAGTTTTTGAGTAATATCAACCAATGCATAAAATTTATCGTTATTACTCGAATGTTAATTTGTACGAAAGTGTATGCACTTAATCTAAGTATTCAGTATTAAAATATCTTAAGTGATTAAAAAAATATAAAAAAATTATAAGTGGAAAGTTAAGTGAAAGCATGTCAATTGATCGTGCACTATTAATACCGAAATAGATTAAAATTCTTTTATTACTGTTACTTATTGTGAGAACAAATACATTTTTATAGGAATTTCTTTTATGAACATCTCATTTTATACATATTTATCTACGAAATTTTCAATGCTTTCTTGAAAATTCTAGAAAAGTTCTCTATTAGAAATACAAACATATTTTATTAAAATATATTAAAATAATCAGAGTAAAACATATTGCACAGTCGCTTTGTCAACGAGTAGGTTTTAATTATTATGCATTGAAGTATTTAGCAATACTTGCAGTAGTATTGCAACAAAATCATGACCTACTCTCGTTGCACTTTTTTAAATTGAGTTTAAAACAGGTATTTTAGTTAATATATCTATAATATATATAACAACATATCTGCATAAAAATATAAAAACAAAATATTTAGGATGCAAATATAAGAGACAGATACAAACTGTAATTTGTTTTCTATACTTTCTGTTTTAAAATTAAATGGTTTTTTGAAATGTCTGTAGAATACCAAAATTGTAAAATATATAGCTAAATATGTTAGTTATACCTAAAATTGAAAATGTGAAGCGAAGGTAACCTTAATTATCTAAATAAGATGTTATTCCGTTCCTGATCATTTAAATCGTCAAGATCTTGTCTAGTAAATTCTATAGTGTGTTAGTTTCTTGTATTTAATGTATTTTTTTTATTTATAAAAATTAAATGTTGTATGTAGTAGACATATGGACGTAAATCATGCGGGTAACTTATTATTTAAGCGGGCGTTTGTAAATCAAAACGTTATATTTATTGCGATGGATAATACATAATAGGTATGTATCAAAAGGAAAGTTAAGAAAAAGTGAAGTACTTATATTATATACCCTGTTGGGTTCGAAAATTGTTGCTTATTATTTTTTTTACACAATTTATTGGCAGAATATTTTTATTTTTTAAAAAACTACTCTTATTAACTTACGTAGGTACCTACTAAATATACTATATTGTTTTTAATATGTGATATACATTTTGTAGATACAAATCGGTATTAAGAGCACGTATTTTATGATTTTAATAAAAGTTTGTTACTTTATTATGTAAAAAAGTTTGGAAAGGGAGAGACAATTCTTCTAAAATGTATTGACTGTATGTACAACAACGCAACGAAGTACATTGCCTGGAAAATGTAAGTACCTATTTACGAAACAAAAACTGTTATATCTCGCTTCTACAATAAAACGTGATAAATCTGAAATTCTAATCTACAGCTCTCGTAGCTACTTCTAATGGCTACCAATCTCATGAAACCTGCTTTACAATTTTGAGGCCTGACAAGATCGTAAAAAAAAATCAACAAAATTGCTTTTACCTGTTTTTCGATATTTTATCACCCATACAAACCAATTAAATTAATCAGTCAAAGGTATTTTATGTTCTTTTTTGTCTATCTAAAATTAACACAACGGAAGAAGCAGATAATTGAAAAATGCACCTCACTGTGCAAGGAATTTGTAAGATATAGTTCTTACTAAAGGAAATGTCGTTTTAAACCAAAAAGATCATATGAAAATGTATTTTTTTAAACAATGTTATTATATTATCAATTGCAATAAACTTATGTGAAAATAATACTTTACAGTGACGGATACTAGGATTAATAATAATTATGGATTGTTTTACCTTAAAATAATTTTTGTGTAATTTTCGGAAAAATAAGTATTTTAATATTGACAATCTACACCGTTTTCGAGAAAAAGTTATGATTATATCAATTAAAGTAAGTAAAAATCCTTTATTACCATATTTAAGGTCAACCGAAACAACTAAATGAGGAATTTATTTAATGATATTAAATAATTGTTTTTCAAATATCCCTCTGCCTCAATACGTTTTAAATCGGTATATCTACACGTAGATATTCTCTTACTCCTTTTTATATTTGCATGGATTTGCTGATACTCTAATTTTTAAAACTATAAAAGTACAACAGTCTGTGTATGAAAAATCAATTTGTAAAGACCAATGTTCAAATAAGAAAAAACCTTAAATTTAGACGAGGAAAATGCTGTTGCGTTTTTGACATGTTTTCAAAGGCCAGAATAATTTTAAATTTATCTAAACTTATTATCTTTGCAAACCGCTAATTTGTACCAACACGATAAGAGATATACAAAAAAATCAAGAGATCACTTTAATTCTAAATATCTAAAATTTGCATTTTAAAAATGACAAAAATATATTTTTTCCCGTGGCGTTTTGTAATTTTTGTGATAAATGTATACTTTTCCAGAATTGATTAAATGAAATTCCATTTTATCCTCGTAATTTGCACACAAAATCCAGAAGATATTTCGGGATACCATAGGTTAAGCATTATATGTATAGGAATACGCATGCGCCTAACTGTTGGAAACTATTTTGGATCGATCTAGGAAGAAGTTATTTTGTTCTTTCGTAATTTAGTTTATCAATCCTTTGAACACAACATACATGTTGATACAGTATCCACTGATTTTAAAAGTTTTTGATTATGTAGATCATAATGTGTTATTAAAGAAATTATATTTTACGGTGTTTCTAATGATTTACAAAGTATTGCTGATTCATTGCGAAATACTTTGTACTTTTATGAATTTGATGCTTATTTTATAACACCTCAAGGTTCTAACTTAGGGCCCTTATCATTTATATATTTTATTATTGACTTAATTAAAGTGACGTCAAATTGAAATTTTTTATTATTTTCTATTGATTGATAAATGTGTAACACTAAATTCAGTACCAAATATTTTTGAGAGAATATGTTAAATAGCAACGTAGGTACTTAAGTATCTTCTTACTTGATTTCCTAATTATTTAATGACCAGTAAATTTTGCGAATATTTTACAAGAATACTTTATTGCCACAAATTGATTGTACATTTTAAAAATATTTAAAATTATTTAAAAAACCAGTGGCTTTTTTTCAAAAAAGGTCCCATGCTCCCCCAATAACTTCGCCACTGGAGAGTGTTTTGGAATAAATTAACCATGAAAAAATAGTCCCTACTAAAAAAATGTCATCCCCAAAATTTTATCACTAAATATTTTTTGCCAGTCAAAATCATATAAATATTTGAAGTTTTAACATTTATTTAGGGAGGTGTCCTATCAAATATTTTTATAGGGCAAAACTTGATTATTTTCATCGGTAGAACACGCCATTAAAGTTTGGCAAAACTTACCATTACATTACATTACATTAAGTTTCAATTGAGGCGTTTACTGCAATAGTGGCCTAACTTAAAAAATAGCATTTGTGAATAATTAAGGTTTAAAATATAGTGATATTTTTAATGGTTCTTGCAGTGAGAAGCAATTTAATACATTTATTTTAAATTTGGGAAAAGGTTCACCACTTTCATTGGTAATCAACATACCATATAATTTTACATTATAAAACACCGAACATTACCAAAGAAACATAGGCCACTTGTGCAGGTTATTATATAATTTCAAGAATATTAGGTCAATTAAAAACAAAAATTATGAAACTATACTAACAACTTTTATTGAAAAATCAATAGGAAATATTCGTTCTGTAACTATATAATATAACTGTATAAATATATGTATATTAAACATAATAAGTTATTCTTCTTATCTCCATTAAGAGAATTCTACAGGATCGTATAGTCCATTGGGATCATCATCTGTATTTATGAGTATATTTTGTTTTACTCGTAGATCAATATAAAACTTGTGAAAAATTGGAGGTACATAGGGTAACAAGTCAGTAACGTTATTGTACTTTAAACTATCAATCTCTCTCCCGAAATCTGTATTTTCACACTTAGGCCACTATTGCAGTAAGCGCCTCAATTTAACTATTACTATTTGTTATATTTATTATTTTTTAATGGGATTTTTTGTATTTTTATATGTACTATGCATGATTATTGTAAAATTTATACGTATATTTAATTTTCTCTTGTAATTATTCATAACTGCCGGTTTGGAATGAATAAACAAATAAATAATTTTTACATAAAACTTAATGTTTTCTATTTGAGATTCATTAATTAATTGAGAATTTATAATATGTTTATTATTACAAATATATTTGCGGACTACATTAAAATTCAAGATTCACTATCTTCACTAAAACTTTTCGATACATTTTGTCTTTTGTACACTGAAATTAACACGTAAGTATTTTAATTAACAAATGAGAATTCTGGAAAGAAAATAGCCTCAATTTAGTAAATATGTGAAAAAAATTAATGAATATGCATAAACGACTCACTTTTCAATTCTCTTCCCTCGGGCGTGCAGGGGCCCTCGTCCATCAAGCACTTGATATAATTCGTCAAGACCCTGTCGTTGGTCAGAATTTTCTCAACGTCCACATTGTCATATTTGCTGGTGTACTTGTTATCGGCCAAAACCAACCCCACAAGGGCGCAGAAGATCACAGCACTGAAAGGTTGCATTGTTAAGATGCACAGAATCTATTTGGACACCTTATTTTCTATTATATATGTAGCAGGGCTGGAAGCAGTTGCAGGAAAGTGTAAGAACGTCACGTGATTTGATTGTAAGAAAACTTAATTCGTCAAACACGGCTTGACCCACATTTCTAGCGAGAGTTTTGTTGCTGTAATGGGTTGCCCAGGTTACTTAAAAGATTGTCATTCAACTGTACCCGGTGGGAATAACAAACGCTTTTGTTTGGAAAATATAGACAAATAAAAATTATAAATAAGAATCAGTTATTTATTTCTTTTTTCGAGTATACATTTCAAGTTTTACGAAGAAGAACGTTGATCGTACATATTTTCTTTAAGAATTTAGTAAATAATAGGATGGTTCAGGGTCGGTCAAACTGAAAAGTGTAACTAAGTTGCATTCTTAATTTATAAAAGTAAAAAAATATCTATATATTGCATATTTTAGTAAAAACGTTATTTCATTGTACGAAGGTCTAAATTAATCGAAATTGGTTTATTTCACGGTTTTTAACGTTCGTAATTAAATCCTCTTAAAAAAATTTTAAAACAAAAAATTGATACTGGATAAAAATTTTAACAAAGGTGATTTATGTTTCTACAAAATCCTTTATTATCATCATTCTTCCTCTTCTTATCGTCCATGAATAAGTGATTTTTTCTTGGTGTAGCTAGCAATATTGATCAAGAAATTTCTAGCAACAATAAAGAATACTGGGAATTAAAATGTTCTTATTGTTGATTTTTATGCAATATTATAATAATTATTCACATAGGCTTGACTTAGCTGCATTAAGGGACAAGGTTTATTTAAAAAAAATATATACAAGGTGTCCCACCCAGAACTGCGTCGAACTCTTCTGCACTTCCGGTTATACCGGATGTCGACAACAACTTCGTTATTTTAAATGGAACACGCTATATATTATTGCATTTTCATATTCTACGTTAAATTTGAGGGCCACTTTATTAAATATTCCCTATACCTAGGAGTTATAGATTTTGAGATATTTTTAAAGAAAAATTTGACAGATGCAAGGTTCCGCGGAGATGCTAGTAACTCTTTTCCGGAGCGTAATATCAAGCGGATTATTGGTACCTGTAAAGGGCATAGGTACTCTAAATTATGGTATACCAACAGATTAAAACATTTAATAATAGGTGTTTCATTTTTGCTGTTACATTTTGATAGCTTCAAACAGTTATAACTTTGTTAACTTAAATGGAATATACCGTATTTTTTACTCTGTCGTATGTAGATTTTTTTTCAAGCCATATAAGCATTGTTGGGGTTGCCGTTACTATTTTTAGAGATATTTTCAATTTTCTATTTTTTGGACACTTTTTTCTCGTATCAGACTTGGACGTGGTTCCATCAGGATGGTGTAACCTGCCATACGGCTTGTGAAATTATCCTCTGAGTTTCTTTTGGGACACCTTTCACTACGGAGAAAACTTGATAATTTTTTTTTGTAGTAGGGAATTACAGCAGTAATAAATATGACGTATAAGGACTAGTAAGTTTAAAACCGGTATATGTTTGGCGATTCAGTTGACGAATAATCTTCTGTTTACCAGATATAGAGGGTGCAATTTACTATTGGATGAGGCTCAAGTCCGCAGAATAGTTATTGCCCACAATATCATTAGTTAAAAAGTTTAGTAGGTACCTATATCAAGTTCCATCGTTTTCGTACCACAGAAACTTGAAAAAACGTTTTTGAACAGGGTTCCATCTACTGATTTAAGTTTAAATGTAAATTTAAAGGCTAAGTGCTGTAGGTACCTTCATAAATGTTCGAGACATAAAGAACGCAGTTGACCATTGGATGAGCAAATTTTAAAAAATTTGTAGTGTTAAGTCTACTAAACTTACCAAATTTCATAACTGATATTAACATTATGATATGGGACTGTTAATTAGATTTTATGAAGCTGTGTCCAGAGATTTACTTGGTTTTAGGAAAGTCTGTGTTCCTTAATGTCTCAGGCATTTATGAAGGCACGTTAGAAGGATTAACTTATCCGTAAACTGTTTTCCATTTAGAATGCATCCTAAATTCAGCCATATCATTTTCGAATCAAATGTAGTAACTCCTAGACTACTAAAGCGACTGCATCGAGTTAAGTTTATATCATATATAACAGATCTTCATTGCGAGAATGTATGACAGCTTGAGAAACAATTTATTTTAAGAGCACCATCTGTTTAAAATTGTTAAATCATCTGGGATGGAACTAGATATGCAATAGAAAAAGATAACCTCAGGTCATCAATATAGAGTTTTATGCTGGAGATACGCATTAATGTCATCGATAAGGATGAGACATAAAAAGGGCCCCAGATCACATCCCTAAGGAACACCTGCCCCCGCTGTAATTGACTGAAACAGACTGCTCTGATCTGATTATCTCCTGACCAGCTTTTGCTGATATAATAATGCATATTAAGTAATTTGCAGTAGATCTTTCAGAAATAAGCACCTAGTACCTAGTTTCCAAATTCTGTAAAGTAAAATACAAACTCAGTTAATGATCCCTAATAAGAAAAACTTGAACATTTTTAATTCGATTTAAATGCACATAAAATTAAATGTTTGGATGGCTGAATAATATTAATCATCAGCAACAACTACAATTCTTATTATTCGGTATGGGTTATAATTAGGTATACACATTGTGAGAAAACGTTTATGCTAATTGTGTTTTTAATTAATGATACAGGTACTAATATTTGAAATATTCAATATTTTCAGATTAAAAAAAAACGCTTTTTATGTTTTTAGTGTAGTGTATTTCAGGAAGCAGTCTTTGAATATAGTTGTTTAAAACTCGAATAAATTTTGTAAATTGTTTTTTACTTTTATTATAATTTTATATTTTTAATTTTATTATAATTTTAGGGTTTAAATTCCAATGTTCTTTTTCGTTCTTTTCTTATGTTTCGAGGCATATACATTATTAAGAACTCCATGCATTTTGTTGTTGTTCTAATTTAGTTGAAAATATACCCTAAATATATTTACCCTTGTATGTGTTGCTTTAAAGTAAATCTCTTAAATCACTTAAGGTTGTTTTCCGAAAATATGTTCCAATAAATTGTGCAGTAACCGCTGCTATTTATAGCAGCTCGTCCATAATTTTGTTGATATAGGTATATTTATAATTAATTTACATCTGTAACAAAGTACTTTTTAATATTGATCTTTAGGTATAAAACTATTTGTTTAATAACAAACTGTTAAAGAATATATCTATTATATGTACATTTTATACAATTCTCTAAATTGTTATGTTGTACTTTAAACTCAGATATAAAGGTATGTTTTTATTAGACGTGCAGCGAAGCACGACAATTTACAACAATTCAGTGGACCATTTGTTATAATTTTTTAACTGCAACACAAACAGGTCGTTCTATGCTTTCGCATAAACTATTATTTGTCAAATTGCATAGGTTGACGGGTTGTTGACCCGTAGTTGTTAAAGTCATGTTTCTTTTAACAACTCAATAAATATAATTGAAAAAGCAAGAACATTTAAAATAACGTTTTCAAAATTTCCAGTAGCCGTAGTAAAAAATTAGTTTTGTAATAACTCTACAATGAATTTTAAATTTTTTAATTAAAATTAATTACTTTTTAATATACTAAAAAATTGTATAAATATAACATAATCTCCTTGGTTTTGGCATTCTATTGTTTTTGATAACAATAAAACATATCAGTGTTATGCAACCAGCTTTACACACCCAGATAACTCTTAGCATTTTCTTCCATTGATCTTATATGCAGTTTCTTTCGTCTTTTCGGCTGCATCTCGGTGTACTCTGTACCTACAACATAAGCACATACAAAAATGGTTCATTTCACGGATGAGACTAGACTAGAGGATTTACCTCTACAAAATCGATTGCGTGGTTTATGGACGACGGTACTCCACCACATTTTTCATTAATTGTTCAAAATTACTTGAATCATCAGCAGAATACAAATAAATCTGATAGGTCGAGGTCATGACGTTCCTGTAAATTGGCCATCACATTCTCCAGACTTAAATCAAATGGATTATTTTTTATGTGGAAACTTTAGATCCGTGGTTTACGAGATATTTGTGGAAACAGAAGAAAAATTTTGTCCAATGTATTCAAAATGAAACAAAAATATTCTTAGAGGATAGAGGCTATAACAAAATTATACAGATAGTACACATTAATTTTCCTCGACTTGTAAATTTTCGTATCCGTCTAAATGGTAGATAGTTTCAACAGTATTTATAATATATTATTTATTTGTATTCATGTTTTCGTATAATCTATTCCCAATTATTAAAATACAAATTACAAAAACATGTTAGCGTTAATGTAAATATTATACTTACAATTCTCTTCGTCCATTGGCGTAGATGTTGGAAATATTCAGTTACAAAAATACTTTCGCTTTCACATAAGGTAAGTTTATGCAAATTCACTTATTTTCGTAGAACATAAGGTGCACTTCAAATCAGGCGAATGTTTCGAAAATATACTCGAAACTCCTCAGACGCTACGAACTGTCTTCTATCGTCAACAAGCCGTTCAATTCAATCTACGAAGGTACCTAGATGGCCGCTACACCAGCAAAATGGCCCCAAAATCACTGATCTTTCCAAAAATTTTCCGACCTTTCGAAATTTCTACCGTCGAGCCACCAGGACGTCATTGAGCCGGCGCGGCGTAGCCACCCCCGCGTCATCGGAATAGAACCATTTGCTGCGCCGAAGCCTCCCTGGGACCGCCGCGCGCCTACGAAGGACGAGGGAAATACATTTTTCACCACCCTTTCGAAATTTTCAAAGAGGATGGATCACCGCCAAAGCTGTCTCCCGCGAGACCTTCAGGTCGGAATTAATTGATTTTATTTCAGATGACCAACCACGGCCGAGCGACCAGACCAGGAAAAAATTCAAACGAGATGTCACTGAACCTATCCACACAGCAGCTGTTCTACCGGGATTCACCCTGCAGGCGATTGAACGCGCACCCGCGGCAATTGAAGTCTATCAACCAGGACACAGTTCCTGGCTAGAGTCGAGCACTCGAAATATGAAAAGAATTCGATCCTATAGCAAGCATTCTGTACTATCAGCATCCTTTAAATAAACGATATACATTTACTAATCGCCTACAAATACACACAAGCCCCAAGCTCTAACGCTCTCGGTCAGCTCCATGCTGCACCAAGCTTATTCAAGCCTCAGTACCGACACTCCAAGGAGTCCGTACACAGTGAATTAAAAAGTAGTGGACAAAAGACAGTGATTTTCAGACACTAGGATATCAGACCCGAACCAAGTGCATACAGGGTGAAACAAAAGTCTGAACCACGTTTCTAAAGTCCTAAGTGGTAGTCAAATTAGTGAAGTGCTCCGACGGCCGACTCGGTCGCAACCTCAAACAAATAGATCGTGAAATCACCAACTAGGTATATTGAACTCAGAACGATGGTGGGGGACCGAAAATCTCACCTCCCCTCGATGATGGCCGCCGGGCCGTTCATCAAGAGGGAGAGGGTAAAGATGCCAGGGCAGGGAACCCTCTAGTCTCCTAACAGGCGCCCAACTCGCTGGTACTTGGACTACACGGTCCTTCCCATCCCATCATACCCATCTTGACCCAATGATGATGCTTAGGGGAGAAGCTGGCTGGTCTCAACAGCCGGGACCAATACCCAACCGCGACATGGCGCCTAACGTGGGCCCATGTTGGCTGAAGAATATGAAGCCAGCGATACACAACCACGATAATATCATATCTAATTTTTGTATATACCCCTCTGGATTGGGATGTTAGAGAAGTATAGTGGTATCTATCAAAATTAAGTAATTCCATTCTGGTAAAAGCTTTCACTCCCTAAAACAGGGCTTCGGTGACAAAATTTTTGGCAATTAAGCGGTGTTTTATTTTGTGGTTATCATATCCAATTTTTATAAACGCGTCTCTCTCGATTGCGAAGTCATAACATATTTAGATTTATCTACGAAAATTCGAATTTAATTGTAATTTGAGATATGTAAACAATTATTATCTCATTTCAATATGTTAGGAAGATGGGGACAAAATGTTTGGATGTAAAGAGATTCGAACGAATTCAGTAGGTACCTATATTGAATATAACAAGCTCCCCGATTGGGAAAGTAGCAACATATACAGGGTGATTCACAACATATCCAAAAAAATTTGGGAATAGATGCGGCATGAGAAATGGAGTCAATATTGTAAAAAAAAATGTTGTAAAATCTTTATAGTTTCTGAGAAAAAAAATATTGAAGTTATAGCACATTAAACCACTACATAGCTGGACAACTGTAGTCTCTAGCGTCATTCGCAATACGCGTGGAGAGCCATGTGACTCCTAATACTGAAATCCGTCATTGCGGTAGTTTTTACCTGTTATCTGTGGTATTTACGTCAGTTTTTTAATAGTTAGTGTCAAAAATGGCTTGCGTGTATAGCAACTCAGAGTTGATGGATATCGTTTTAATTTATGGTGAAGCAAGACAACATTTGTATTATGGTGAAGTATTTGTGTTATGGTGAAGCAAGATATCATTTGTGTTAGTTCGTAGAAAGTGAGTAAGACGGACCCAAATGTGTTTACACGTGAGTGGATAAAATTTTGAACAATTGCTGTTGCAGCATCGGGTATGTCAAATGATTTTATTATTTAAAAACACAAATTAATTTTATTAATTAATAACGGCAAAAGCAGTTGAATTTGCCGATATAAAATAGGTGCGATAAAATTTTATTAACATATTTCTTTCCTTGCGAAAGTTTTTGTCCGTTTTTATCACACCGCCATGACGGTCGCATTGTGCTAGGTCAGGTTTTACACTGGACCAGTTTCCAGTGCCGTGCAGAAGTGTATTTTTAAATCAATTTCGAACTGACCTTTTTGATTTTTTCTTTACAAAATTGTATTTGTAAGGGTCCCCTGTACATCCAGAATTTTTTTTTGGATAAGTTCTGAATCACCCTGTATATACATACATATTCCATATTCCATTATATACTATATATCCAATTTTTGTAATTACTCTTTAGTAAACTGAACTTACGACTGAACTTACGTATCGACTTTATGGTGTACTATAAAGTTAAATTTTATTATGTTTATATTTGCAAGTTGGATGCAACTAAACATACAAGCAACAGTAATACTGGTTGCATTATGATGACAATAAACAAATTGCATATTTACAATTCTTGTTTTTTTGCAATACCGCAAAAGAACTCTATAACATAGTATAAAGCAAATTAATAATAGCATACACTTTCTTTATGAACCATTTTTATGGAGGTAAAGAAATGTGACTTTGAGGAAGTTAATCGTTTTAAGAATATATTCTTCTCTGTTCTGTGGATTTATGAATGTGGCGGGATTTTTAAATTTCTTATAGAAATTGTTTTTGCACCTTTACATGCAAATTAGATATAATCACTACTTATGGTTTGGTTCAAATAAAATTAAAACTGATTCATTAATAAAGATAATGCAACAGCAATTAAAATATGTTCACATCGACTTCACTACCTAACAGAAAATATATTATACAGATGTAAACAAATATATTCACGTTCCACAGAAGCAGGTTTGGGGACATGTACAATAAAGATGTTATCAACAATCATCTGTACCAACCATGACTGTACTGATATGTATTGTGCTGTGCTCTGTAAATAGCTAAATTTGAAAATATATTTTTATGACACAATACAGAAAAGAATTAAGGAATTTGAAGTGATGCTAAAATTAATCTATCATCATTGTTATATCAATGAATCTAATTAGAATTTTTTTGGATGTTTAGTTTGTATAAATTACTCAACATTCTAAAATAAATTTTCTTTTGTTTCTTTATTCATGTTGCAGTTTTCGGGTTTTTTTCTTAAGCGCAATCATTATTTTGTAAAGAGGGATTTTTCCATTTTTAATTAGGAATTGCCTAATTCTATATAATATAATAGGATATCCCATCACAACACATTATTTAATCATTTACTTTGGTTTACAACAAAATAAAATATAAATGGTATTAATTTTGTTGATTACCTTGACCAAGTTAATTATTTGAAATATTACGAGTATAAGAATTTGTTTTGATTACTTTTAATTACATGAACTTTGTATTTATGATTAAAAATTATATCACCTTAAAATTCTAATTATATTTAGGACTAGTTATTGTGTACGTAGTACCTTATCAAGAGGAAATTTGTTAAGTTCCTACTGTTTTTTGATATTCTCTTGACATGTTATTTTAATTTTTAACAGTTTAACAGATATTTTCTCATTCTCTATTCAATAGTCAATAAGTTTTCATAATCACATAATACGAAATAGTTTTAAAAAATGACAATGACTGTGTAAGATTTTCATCAAACTTTTGGGTATTTATACATTATACATTACTGCATACAATAAACTACATTTTTTATTCATTCTGACATTGTTCTAACCTTTTTAAACAGTCACATGAATGAGATAAGTTATTGGTTTGGTGCATTTGATATATTTACGAGGTCTGTTTAAACTTTATTATTAATTTTATACATAATTGGTCCTTGTCTCTTTCAAAGTACGCCCCTTCCTTACCCTATTCACAAACTTTTCCCTGCGGTGTTTCCATTTGGTGAAGTAGTCATAGCTTCATTTGAAATAGCCTTTAATATAAAGTCTGTGACAAATTTGCTTTGATGTCAACAATAGCCTGAAAACGGCGTCCTTTCAGCAATGATTCTAATTTCGGAAATAAGAAAAAATCGCAAGGAACCAGGTCTGGTGAATAAAGAGGGTGAAGAATAATAGTAATCTGATTTTTGGCACAAATCTGACGTGCTTTCTTGGGGAGTGGAGATCCTTTGTCAATACATTGTGATGACGTTTTGTCTCAATGTCGTAACCGTAAATTTTTAAATTCTTCAGTCAAAATTTCATGCTAACCTCTTCTTCCATTCCTTTGAGTCAATAGGCGATTTGCACGCACCAGATCTTTGACTTTCTGAATGTGGGAGTCATCAGTTGAAGGCCTTCCTGGTCGAGGATCATCTTCAATTGACTGATGACTGCTTTTAAATCGTAATATTGAGTACTACCCAGAGCACCATCTTCGTAAGCTTGTTTCAAAAGTTGAAATGTTTCCGTGAAAGTTTTCAGCAGATTCAAGCAAAATTTCACGTTGCCACATTGTTCCAAAAAATCGCGCATTTCAAAAATCGCCGCTAACTCTTAAACACGTTGCACTCAAATAACACCATCAAGAAAACTAAATGAGATATCAACAATCCAAGGAGGTTATGCGCAACGCAATGCTGCCATCTGCATATCACTAAATATCTCCATTAGCGCGTATTTCAGAAAGTTCGGTTATTTTTTGAACAGACCTCGTAGTTTAACGAGAAAATTCGAGATAATTTCAATTTCAATTTTTTCAATTTCAATTTCATTGAATTTGGAAACGAAACAGGCTAGCAACTACAAGCCATGCGTAAATACCAACCAGAGGACTAAATTTCTAATTTCAATGTTCTCTTCTGAAGAAATGAGCGATGTGTCTCTCAAAACGTCATGAGATCCAAGCTAATGACGTGGCAACTAACCCGGAAATTTTTCAATTAACAGCGAATTCAATTGCTATCAGATTTGCTAAATAAATATCCAATTTTTCTACAAAAGTTTACTTTATTCAATGACATAATTATCAAAATATATAACAACATTTATTTGGCACACATACTGCCGTCGTGGTAGGAATTATAAAAAAATAATTACACCACAGCAAAATTGGCAAGTCGGATAAATAATTTCATATTATAAAGTAAAATGTGTTGCTATACTGTGTTCACAATAAATATAAGTATTCGTTAATCGTTGTTCTTACTATCCTGTAATATTGATAAAATTTAGTATCATTTCGCTCCGCACCAGTCTAGCACAAGATTCGCTACCACTGGATTTGTATTCATAATGAAACCAAACTGCTGTTTTTTTCTTTTCTTTTTTAGTAATTGATTCCAGTAGCGTCAGACAAGATTGGACGTGACTGGCTTGGTGCGAATTGACCTTTATTAGTAGTAAAGTGATTGTCTATGAAAGGATTGTGATGAGGAAGTTATTCACAACAACAAACAAATATTAGATTTATGGAGGAAGAACTAAACACTATCATGAGGGTTGATTGTGAAATATATAATATACTTTTTTATGGTATGAACTGTTCCTATACAATACAAAAGGTTTCTACATCGATATACATGGTATTGCAATATCCCACTGTCGGAATTTTGAGCAACTATTTGACTAAAAATAAAATGAAAAGTTCATGTCTGCTGAATTAGGAAAACTTTTCCTTTTTTTGTAGCGACTACACTGACTCAAACTATAATATAGTTTAACCTAATGGGTCAGCAAAAGAACAGAACACGTATCAATTCATGAACCAGGAAACGTACAGAACAAATGAAAATAAATCTTTACTTTTTTCCAAATTTTTTATCAGAGAATTACTTGTACAATTGGAGTCGGTGGAATAATGCAACACCCTCTGTGTAAATTCATTACTTTCACTCATCTTTAAAATAGATTTTGGCCACTAAGTACTGCTTTACGTATCTGGATATTCGTAAAATTTATTATTTTTATGAACTTTGTCCACAAATCTTCTCTTAGGGTCAAAAAGTTTACAAAAAATGGATAAATAGAAACAATAATGTCTTAATAACAATTTTATCACGTCTTCAGTCAGTAGTTTTCTAAAAAAATCGTTAAATTAACGCTATCCAGTAAGTAGACGACTAATGAATTCCAATTTTTCCCGTGCTATCTGATTAACCATTTTCTCTATAGATTTCACCACTTCCACCTAAAAAGAAGCCGCTAATGTATGACATGACACTGATTAATAGTTGCATGAAATCACAGATCATAGAAAACAAATAGTTGCGTATATGGTCCACCGTATTTCAGATAGGGTTGATTTCCATGCAGATATTTGTTTTCCATTTCCATGGATAGATGGGTTAGTAGCTTGGATGAAACTAGCGAAAGCTCAAAGTGGCCTTGCGATGTTTTTCAGGACCACGCCTGCGATTTCCGCTCCTGTTTCAACCACCCTGTTCCCAATAGCTCCCAAACCCCTTACCAAGTCCCCCACAATGTTAGTCCCTAAACTCACCGTAGCTTGTATACTTTGTCCTATATTTGGTCTAGGGCGCTTTTTAGGTTTAGCAGATGCTGAAATTGTGTTAATGTTTAGTTTGATGGTACTTATCGTGCCAAAATCATCAATAGTGGCTTTTGTTACGGGTGTGGCTTTGGTACTAACTGTAGTAGGTTTAGTGGTTGTGGTCTTTGTGGTAGGAGTAGTTGTCCTAGTGGTTGTCCTAGTAGTTGTACTAGTAGTTGTACTAGTAGTTGTACCAGTAGTAGCAGTGGTAGTGCTACTGGTACTTGTCCTGGTGCTTGTAGACGTGGGCAATGGCGTAGTGAAAAGCTGACTTATGGTATTCTGAACGGTCTTGTTATCGTTCTCTGTTGAGGCGAATCTGTTCACAATTTGGACGGATGGCGTTGGACTGGATTCGACCGGTTTGCCACCGAAAGTCGATTCGAATTTGGATATGTAGCTGCTGTCAGGGTCCCACTGTTTTTCCAGCTGGGCCCATACTTTGGGGTACTCTTTCTTCAATCGTCTGATGGCTCGAAGTGTCACCGTCTTTTGTTTTTCGGTACATCTGTGACAGTTGGTTCTCAAAGCTTCTGGTAAAATTCCTGAAAGAATTAAAGTTTAATAAGGAGTTGCATTAAAATGATAAAATGTAAAAAATATTTCCTTAAATTTCTTTATTAACTGAAATAACAAGATCAGCAAAGCGGTAGTTGTACTGTAAATATTAAGAATTAATGGAAATATTTTTACATTTTCCATGTATTTACTTAAACTGTTTGTAAATAAAAATAAACAAGTGCTGCATTTTTTCTTTGCCACTTAGTAAAAAGATGTGTTTAAAAGTGTGTGCTTTAGGTACGGGGTAACTGTGCGTTTTGGTATAGGGCAAGTGTATGCGGCATATTAATCACAAAAATGCATATGACTGCATGTTTTGAGAAATTCTAGTCAATGTATGTTTATTCCTCTGTATAAAAAAACTGTGTCCAAAAAATAAGGTAAATTACTTATTTAAAATTTGCGAGTATTATGGAATTACAATTATTTTTTTGTTGGTTGGTAGTACGGTCCTTGATATCTAGGCAGAGTTTTTCAATTGCTGCAGAGATACTCGTGTTTTTGTAAACATACGAGAGTGAATTTATCGATTTTCACTATGTCCGATTTTGTTAAGAATTTGCATAAAATTTTGTTTGCGGAATGAATATTCTGCCGCGGAAACGTTAATGTTGTTACAGAAAGCCTTTAGTGATGAGATTATGTCGAAAAAAAAAATGTTTACAAGTTGCACAAAGACTTTAAAGAAGGCAGAGAAAGCTTTAAGAATGAACAGCATCCTTGACGACCGTCAACGTCAACTGATGAACAACACGTTAATCAAATCGAAGATCTTGTGCCCGAAAACAGTCGATTAACAATAAGAGACCTTGTTGACACTGTTGGCATTTCAAAAGATTCGGTAAATATCATTTTAAAAGATTTGTTGTGCCTTAGACGCGTCAAATCTCGTTTGATACCAAAACCCCTCATAGGCAGGGTGAATTAGTTTTTTTTAAATCGGACCTAACTCGAATTTTATGGGCTTAAAATTAAGTAAAAAATACACAGAATAAAAGCCTAAACAAAATAATTGCTCTTTTTTCAGTTTTTCACACATATTTCCGAAAATAAGCTTCTAATCGACATAAGGTTTACTTACCGATTTTGTTCCTAAGGAAATTTGCTACAAGCAAACGCTTTTGCGAAAGCTCGCAATTTTTTTTTTTAAATTGCAAAATTAGCGGTGAAAAAAAATGTGGAAAATTTTCAGAATTAAATAAAAAGAGCAAATTTGACTGGAATTGGATGAAACTACAGGAAAAGATAACTGCTGGGTTGCTCAACCAATACCCACAATCCGGGCCCCCATCAAAATGGCGGCCTATTGCAAAATTATAAAGTCGAAAACGCGAGCGCGTATATCTTCTGCCCAAGTCAAGATATCGAAATTCGGTAAAAAAGGATCGAATATCTCGCGTGTGTGTAAATTTCAGATTTTTAAGTTGCAAAATAAAAAAGTTATTAACAAAAAAAAAACAAAAAAAAATGGTAACTAGGGTCGATGATTTTTTTAAACGGTATTTTGGCTGTTCTATTTAATATTTTGTAATAAACTTGCTTGCACATTTTTTTTTCACCGCTAATTCTGCAATGTAAAAAAATGGCGAGCTTTTGCAAAAGCCACTCCCTATAGCAAATTTCCTCAGGAACAAAATCGATAAGTATACCTCATCCCGATTAGAGGCTTATTTTCGGAGATATAAGCGAAAAACTCAAAAAAGAGCAATTATTTTTTTTCTTTTGTTATAAACAATATGGCGGTCGACCTCTACAAATACATAAATTTAGGCTTCTATTCTTTGTATTTTTTACTTAATTTTAAGCTAATAATATTCGAGTTAGGCCCGATTTTTGAAACAAGCATGTGTTTGGTCTAATAAGCCCGGATTATCAACTTTTTGGAAAAACAGGGTCATCTGTGAAACAATCATTTCTGACTACCCAGACGTCGTGAAACGCATAATTACTGGAGACGAGACTTGGATCTACGCTTACGACCCGAAAACAGTTGATTAATCGAGTGAATATCGTGCATAGTGCATTATGAATTTCTTCCAACCGACCAAACTGTTAACAAGGAATATTATTTGAGTCTTATGTCTCATTTCCGTGATGCTATTCGCCGCAAAAGGCCGGAATTATGGACAGACAACTCTTGGTTTTTGCATCATGTTAATGCACCGGCTCACACATCATCAAGATTTCAAGACCATTTGGCCAAAAATTCAACTGATATCGTTCCGCAATCACCGTATTCTCCTGATTTAGCACCAAGTGACTTCTGGCTATTCCCTACACTCAAAAGACCACTCGGTGGATACCGTTTGGACTCGATCGAGGAAATAAAAGCCGAATCGACAGAAGCATTGAAAACCATACTGGAAAAGGACTTTTCGAACTGTTTCGAGAGTTGGAAAAAACGTTGGTATAAGTTGGCATTATATTGGGTGGGGAAATTGATTTGGAAGCATAAAGATTTTTTGTTTTTTAAACAAATTCACCTTATTTTTTGGACAACGGGTTACATAAAATTTACATAAAAATTTTAAGGATTTTGCTTATTTTTATATTTAATATTTAAGCAGTTCTCTCTCTCTCTCTAGTGTGAAGACAGGTTTTATGCCTGACTATTAACTATGAAATAAATACTAAAGGTTCAATATTCAGCAATACATCTTTGCAACAATATAAATCCAAAATTTTATAATTGATTGATTGATATTAGTTTTATTTATAAATATAAACAAAATTTTTATATAACTCTACAATTACGTAGTTAAATGCATTAAATTTATATGTATGTTATATGAAAATTCAACTGTATTCATTTCGGACTTAGAATTATTTCAAACTATAATGCAACATTGTATTGTATAAAGATAAGCTCTAGAACAAAGGAATATTGTCAAGTTACCAAGGACTTCTAGGAAACTTAATTACACCTCATCAGCTTTTGCTGAAGACTAAACGAACTTATAAAAAGCCCTGGTAACAAAGCAAAAACACCTTAGTTCGTTGTCGCGTTGCCACACAACTCTGTGTCATTAAAATAGAAATTAAACTTAAAAATCAAAGTTCAAAGTAAAGTAAAAACTCCCAAATTGTAAAAAGGTAGTGAAATAAACAAATTATTTGTTGCGATAAATAAACTTCGGAGTTACCACGACAAATTTTATTGTTGGGTGCCAGCTCAGAAGAGGTTGCATCCTTCTTGGCTTGCCAATTGAATTGATTGTGACAGATTTTCTAAATTAGAAACGACATATTAAAACTAAAAGATGGCCAAATATTCCCATAAAACAAAATAATATGAAATTAAATCTTTATTGTAAGTATATAAAAACAAAATGAGCAAGTAACAATAAAAATATCTGAATACCGAAAATATTTTTATACACTTATATGAGCACTTAGGACTGTCAGAACTGAGCCGCTGGACATAGGCGTACGCATTATTTATTAAAAAGCAACAAATTAAATTGTCTACAATACACTACAATTGTGGCTCTCTCTGGCAGCCTTAGTTATATTACTAGTAAACATCAGCTATCTTTAAAATGCTGAATAATATTTTACATCAATATTAACAAAAATATAAAAATACGTGTTTTTACTGTTATAATCCAAACAATTCTTTAATATTATTAGACTATTACATATTTTTGTAATTATAATAATTGCAGGTACATTGAAAGTTGTGTCATAGATTGACGCTTAGATTAAAATTATACAGAGTGTCCACAGATGGTATTGAAAAGAGGGAAAAGCTTTTAATTTTTCATTTTATGAGAAAAATTTTGTCAAAAAATTGCTTGTGTACAAACTTACAAATATGTAGTTTTTATGTTCAAGGTGTCCTCTGCAAAAAAATAATCGGAAAGATAGTTGATTTGTTCCCAAATTAATAAACAATATATCGTTTTCCAAAAGACATCCTGTATATATTAGCCCAGTACTTTTTTATACATTTGAACATAAGCAGCTTTTTTAACAATAATAATAACCTATTTCATAAAAATTCTTCCTTGGTTGTATCATACTGTATGTTAATTTGAATCAAATTATTTGCATAAATTGAAATTTTAGATGAAATTTACTATCTTTAAGAACGCTACAATATAAGTAAATTGGGACTAAACATTGCTTATGGGAATAGTATGTACTACTATCACTAAACATCATTTAATTTTCTATTAAACAAAATTTCACTTTCGCTTCTACGCGAAACAGTGACGTAATGAAAATATGTTACATAATGTTATTTACCTAGAATCTTCCCATTTTAATATTAATGCTTTTTACGTTTACCATGAAAAGACTGGTATTATTCCGCGTAACAATACAGGAATGTTAATTTTAATTAAAAAAATTAGGTACTGTCAATGTTGTTAACCGGTAGCAAAACTTTGACGTAATAAAAAATATGCAAGGTCAGTAACCAAATTTATTACTTAAATTAAATTCAAATAAACATTAAATCATGGTCTAGCTGACTCGAAACACTGTAAGCAAGAATAAAAAGGGAACGCACATGGTTATCGTCATTTCATTTGGTTTCTAAAAATTTAAGCATTGACATTTTTATTCTTAGAATTATAGAGAATAAAGGTTATTAAAGAAATTTGTTTAAAATTGATTCGTCTGATTATTATTATCAGTCAAATATAAAAAATGAGTTTTCTTAAACGAAATTTTGATGAATCTTGTTTCATAATTTTAAAACAATGATTTTTTTTATATCTATCTGGTTTAATATGTACAAATAAAAAAAATGTTCTTTAATAGTACATATTTACATAAGGGAACAAACAACTTTTGTAACAATATTAGTTGAGAATTGTTGCAGGTAATGTAATTAAATATACTTTATAGGAGAAAATTTCTAGACGTCCAAAATTTTAAATAAATGATTGCGAAATCATCATACATAAGTTTTATATACTTGACAGATTACCGCTACAGAAAACATTAGTTTTAAAGTATTTATAATCTTTGTTCGCGT